AAGTCGCTGGGGTATATTTGTAGCAATAGCCAACAATACATTGTATGGGTCAAAATTATACATTTTTCTTTTATGCCAAAAATCATTAGGATATTAAGTAAAGATCATGTTCCATGAAGATATTTTGTAAATTTCCTACCGTAAATATATCAAAACTTAATTTTTGATTAGTAATATGCATTGCTAAGAACTTTATTCGGACAACTTTAAAGATGATTTTCTCAATATTTTGATTTTTTTTTTGCACCCTCAGATTTTCAAATAGTTGTATCTCAGCCAAATATTGTCCTATCCTAACAAACCATACATCAATGGAAAGCTTATTTAAATGATGCATTTCAGATGATGTATAAATCTCAATTTCAAGAAATTGACCCTTATGACTGGTTTTGTGCTCCAGGGTCACATGCGTGTGTGTGTGTGTGTGTGTGTGTGTGTGTGTCGTAGAGCTGCACGGTAAATAAAACCCATAATTTACACAAGCAAATGTTTGAATTAAGTAGTTTTCAAATGTGCATTTAAACTTGAAAATCCTCATGCATGACTGCATGAGCAGCACTGTAAACCATACCTCCACTCCATGTTGTTGCATTAAATGCAAGCGTGGTGGATTTGGCTGTACGGTGCAGCCCTGGTCTGTGTTCCGTGTCTGATGTTTGAGTGTGTTTGTATGTGTGTCTTTAATGTTCAGGTTTGTGTTTATTGTCAGCACTTTTCTCCTTGCAACCGAGTTTGTGTGGAGCTCCGGTGATGGATCTGCATGTTTGTATGTGTGTGTTTGGACTGCCAGAATGAGTGTTTGTGAGTGTTTTCACACAGCTCTCTGTGTGTGTGTGTTCTCGTCCCGTCCGCAGGGGTAACAGGGAAAGCTCCAGCCGGGCGTCTAGCAGTCGCCAGAGCAGCACCGATAGCGACATGAAGAGCCTGGAGCCGCGTCCGTGGAGCAGCACAGACTCGGACAGCTCCAACCGTACGCTCAGACCTCCGGTCACCAAAGCCAGCAGCTTCAGCGGCATCTCCATCCTCACGCGCGGAGACAGTCTGGGCAGCGCCAGGGGCTCCCGCACAGGTAACACACACACCCTTGCTGACTGTGCTTGAGAAAACTGTCTTCTGTCAGCACAATGTAGCAGCAATCTATCATATCAAAGCTGTTATCTTATTATACTCATGTAGAACGCAAATGCAGATGCAAAGGGCCAAAATCCTGCTGCTCGTTGCATCTTAAAGTGTTAAAGAAGTTTTTGGCACTACTAGTTTGAAAAACAAGACATCTCGTTCCGGCATACATTACTCAGCGAATAATAGTTTTTGCTTGGAATAAACATTTTATTTTATTTTATTTTTTATTTTTTATTTTTTTTTATATAATTTTTTTTAATTCATTTTATTTAATTTTTTTGTTTTTTTATTACTTTTATTTTATTTTATTTTATTTTTTTCTTTATTTCATTTCATTTTATTTCTTCCAGCTATGTTTCTTCCCAAACAACTTGCGTTGGAGAAAACTTTATTTTATTTTATTTAAATTTATTTAATTTCATTTCATTTCACTTCCCAAAACAGGAATAAAATATAATATAAAAAATATGTATTTATTTATTTACCAGGTATATTTCTCCCAAGTAAAAATAATATAAATATATATTTTGTTAATTTATTTATTTGTTTGGTTGGATGGTTGGTTGTTGTTTTTTTCTTATGCAAAATGCATTGAACTGTTTATTTTTGAAGGGAAATGAATAACAGTAACAGTAATAACAGGGATGGAATTTTAAATTACATTTTAGAATATATTTTATTTTTAAATGTCTTATTTTCATAGGAATATAACACTTGTGATATTTTTATATGCTCTATTGCAGATCAGATGTATCATAGTACATACATTAGATTTTAGTGATGATATTTTTCATCAATGCATTTAAATTGCGAGCGTTTTCTTTTGTTTATTCATTTAAACTGGTTTGCATCATGCAAACTGGTCTGGGGTCAGATCATCTCATTGTCTATCGTTAGGGGTGTAATGGTTTGGTACGGTTTCGGTACATCAGGGGGAAAAACTAAACTTTTTTTTATTAAACTGGTTTACTGAACAAATTGCTCTTTCTTTAATTTTTTTTTTAATTATAATTACATTTTTCTTAGGGATAAAAAATCTACCTCAGCTTATGCTCTAAACTATAGGGAGCCCTTTTACAATACTACAAGGTTACAATTAACAACAGACCCCAAACTTAAATTAATTTACTGTTTATTTTTAAATATAATAATCAACACTCAACTTTAAAAAAAAATCTGTATGCAAAACATGTAAATTGCACATAATGCAGTTTTTAAATTAACTTCTAAATTATAAAAATTCTAGGCTATTTGTTGTTGAAATATTAATTTACACATAATTTGTTTCGTAAGAGATTTATTTAAACATACAGTACATTATGTAATTAAGACATCACTAACAGGTCAAATGTAACGAGTATATAGTCTAATATTACGCAAATGTAAAGGTAAATATAATGCTACGTGACATTTTGTTTACAAACCTGTTTTACTGACGTCTTTGCGGTTGAAACGCTGGTTGAGTGATTACATGAGGCATGAGACGTTCGTTCATGTTTATTTCGCGTTAAATCTAGTAAAGAGGAAGAGATGATTGCGCTAGCTGTCGCGCCACATCAAAGAGTGCCAAAACCACATTTGTTTGAATTTCCTGAATAAAATGGACATAATTTGAAAGATGACACTTTGTTTCTTATCAAAAGTAACATTATATAAAACTGGAAGTTTCAAATGAAGTTCCACTCGTGCAGTGGTTAAATCAACGCTGTATTTGTTTGGTAAACATGCGCACTAAACTGAAAGACCCGTACCGAAAATGTTCAATACGAATACATGTACCGTTACACCCCTATCTATCGTATCATACTGCTCTCTCTCTCTCTCTCTCTCTCTCTCTCTCTCTCTCTCTCTCTCTCTCTCAGGTCTTCCCACAGTCACTCCAGACGTTTGTACGCCCTCTCAGCTGCCCCAGCAGAGCCGCGGGCTCCTGCCGTGTCCCCCGAACTGCCCCTCCGGAGCCCCTCAGACCCCGAGCCAACCTGGCCCCCCGCCGCTGCTGCCGACCCCGACTCACACACACGCACACACTCACACACAGCACGCCATCAGCGCACACAATCACATGCTGCCTCAGGTGAGCCACTGTCCGCCTCATACACACATTATACTCATCCTCAGCTACAGCAGAATAACGTCTGAATGTTATTCATTACAAAATATCACAGCAAGTGCCATTTGTCATAAAATAACCTGCACAAATACAAGTTATAATCAAAACATTTGACACGAAGTTTGTACGGTTTGAAATAATAAAAGATCTAGATTTAATGTTGAAAATCAAGACAGGAGGTATTTTGTTCCAATTTTTTTTTCTTCATGAGTCAAAGTCAAAACAAACACAAAAGCCCAAACACAATGCCATTTGAGAAATGTCTTGATGGTGATATACATGCATAATTTTTTTATAGCTTGCAAATTCCAAATTAAATTTTTATAATATTTTTAATGATACTTTTCTTTAGAAATGTGTGTGTATGTGTGTATATATATATATATATATAATTTCATTTATTCATTTAGTATTTTTTCAGATTATTATTTTTTATGTGTTTGAAATATTTCAGTTTCAATTTAATTTAAAAATCTTTAATTGTGCACAATTATGTTTGCATACAATATTGCGAAGGCATTATTACATAGCGTGCAAATTCTAAATGTAATTTATTTATATATATATATATATATATATATATATTCCTAACGAAAATTATAATAAAAATGTGTGTATATATATATATATATTTCATTTATCCATTCTTTAGTATTTGTTCAAATTATTATATTAAAAATATTTAACTGTGCACAATTGTTTGCATACAATATTGCCAAAGCATTATTACATTAATCAAATTATGACAAGAAAAAGAACACAGTATAACAATAACAAAAAAGTAGAACTACAATAATATGAATCTGTTTGATAGATATTAACATACATGTATTAGATGTTTTATACTTAGTGAGTTAAGGTGTGCAATTTCTACTTAGATCCTAATGATAATGTGATTTCAGCAAATGTTTGTTTTTGCGCTGAATGCTTTTGTCATATTTATGGCCTCTGAATGAATATTTTTGAAGGTTTTTTCTCTCATAAGATCATTGTGTGTGGGCCGTTGTGCTTTTTTGTTTGTTTTAATTCATGAGGATTTTTGGAGCCGGAGTGATCTGAGAGCGCATGTATTGATTCGGGTTGTTTCTCTGTATTTGTGGTGGTTTGTCGCGCTGAAACTGCTATTGCTGATACTGCAAGTGTTATGAACACAGCTGAACTCATGTTGGATTTAGTGTTTCAGTTTCTCTGCTCTAACATTTCCTCCGTCTGCTTGTCGATTCCTCCTGAACATCTGTTCCTCTGTTCTCTCTGTGTCTCTGCAGCCGTCTGCGCAGGCTGTGTCTTATTCAAACCCTTCGTGCCCTCAGGTCATCTTGCCTGTTTCTCCTTCCCAGCAGTACAACATGGTACTTCAGCTCTGCTCTGCTCACCTCTCCTGTATCTTTCCTTTCGTTTACCTTCATCTCTTCTCTCTCACTTTTCTCCTCTCCAGCTGGATTGTGTATTTAGTAGTGATTTTTTTTAGGTATTTTTTGCACCATTTGCTGCTGATTTTGTGAAACAAATTTAAATATGGCAAATTTTAAAACGAAGCTGAGCAGAAATGTGCAGATTTTATTTTTGCTGATGAGCATTTATTAAATATTCTGTACCCAAATGTGTTATTTGAGATGTAAAATGGTCCTGTTACAACTATTCTAGGCGGGTGACTTTTATTATTTTATTTTATGTATTTTTTATTTTTTATATTTTTATATAGCTGTCCTGGTACAGCTATTCTAAGTGGATGGCATTTTTATTTTATTTTGTTTTATTTTATTTATTTTATTTTTAATTTTATTTTGTTTTATTATTTTATTTAGTTGTATTAATATTATTATTACTATTATTATTTTTTTATGCTTTTTTGTCATGGTGCAACTATTCTAGGTGGATTGTCTTCTTGTTTTGTTTTATTAAATAATTTTGATTTATTTTAGTTACATAATAATAGTTATATATTTAGTATATCTTCAGCAGGTAAGGCCATCCCAGAATGCATTGACAATCTCGATGAAAATTGTAATCCAAGAATGAAGATGGAGCACCCAGTATCTTAACCAGTATTTTTGTGTGTTACATTGTTTTTGTGATTAGAGTATTGCATTGTTAGCTTAACAAAATGCTGCGTGTGAGAAGCTCCAATTGTGTCCTGCATTCTGGTCATTAACAGAGATGCTGTGGATGAAGAGCATTTCAGATCAGTCACTTATAAAGCTCCATAACTGTTAGGATGCCACCAGTGTGGACCGTGAAGCGGCTCATGCTGATCTCTCTCTGTCTCTGTTCAGGGAGATGAGTTGACTCCAGGTTTCAGGCAGATGTCTCTCAGCCGTCAGAGCTCCAGCGAGGCACCTGAGCCACCCAGCCTATACCAGCCTCCACCCGCCGTACTATCCCAGCATCCTCCACCGCAGCCCAGCTACATCTTGCCCCCGCCGCCCTCTGGATACCAGCCTGCCGCTCCACACCCACATCCTCCTCCACCACCGCCTCCACCAACACAACCCATCCTACAGACAGCTCCGCCCGCACAGGGATACATGCAGCCTCCGCCACAGCAGGTGCTGACACACACGCACACACGCACTCTAACACACACACGCACAC